TATGTGACATCCGAACTACTAATGTTTATTAATGTCAGACCTCAGTAAAAACGCAAATATTCTGATGTATTCTGGTGAATATATCAATACTATTTCTGGCTTGAACGGGTTCGATTTTGCGCGTCTAACAGCATTAGAACACACAGGTTCTAGTAAGTTTATAAAGTTAGTCATTTATAGTAGAAACTAGTGCTTTGGCATGTAGGAAAGGATTGTAATTTTCTAACGCAAGTCATGTATATTTTGTATAAATAACTGAACATTTTATTTAGAGTCGGGGCGTGAAACCTCTTAATAAAGTGATTAAAGTAACCGAGTGACTTACGCATAACTTTGTTAATCGACAGGGTCTTGTAGTTCGAACATATTCGAATATGCAAATGAGTTCTATGCAAAGCTGCTTGGTGCAGTGATGATAAGTAACTCGCATCGAATTGTGCGGAGTTCGGCTTGGCTGGTTCCGGCCTCAATTGTCATGGCGTATCAAGCCACAAGAGGCCGGTAACTAGTATCAAATCCGGCATTCCGATTGGCCCATCACTTTTTCGTTGTTTCTTCTATTTCCCTTGGTTACCTGATGTCAGCGTTTATGCTCGTGGCCGTTCCGGGGTTTCCTTTTACTTTCGAAAGTTGGGCGAATAAAAAACTGTTGTTTTTTTTGTTATAAATTTTCATAGAAACAGCGAGGAATGTCAGAAACTACCTGCCATTCGCAAAGGACGCCGGGAACCAGCGAATAGAAATGCATGGTACAGTGCGAACTCCGCGCAGTTCGATGCGCAAAGCCTCTGGGAAGGAGATTGGGTACAGTGGTTCGCGTCTTAGCAACGTGGAACGTCTGTGACGTAGCTCCGCCCCCGAGGATAGCCCTGTGCTAATATCGACTGTAAACCACTCCTGTTTTCAAACAACTCATTAGTGTGTTTTTTTTAAATTGTATGGGGATATCGTTGGACTTTCCAGTAATTTCACTGTTTTGAAGATTTTTTCTTAGATGTTGACTGCAAGCTGTCTAACTGTATAAACTATGGATAGGTAAGTGTATCCGATTTCCACTCATTCATTCATTCTATTTTATGTTTTATTATTTTCCAGATCA